AAAAGTTCGTTTTATGTTTAAAACACATAAAATAATATAAAGCGACACTATAAAGCCTTATGCCGCGCCATTGAGTTTCTTTCCTTTTGTTTAAGTGGTAATAATAGCTCCATTTTGATGGACAAATCCTACGAGGAGATACTATAGCGTTTTTAAGTCCGACTACACCCAACGTTAAGATCTGGTAGATCAAGCAGCGCGGTGCATCGTCGAACTTTCAATCTGATAATTTCTGTATGGCTAGAAGGCTTCGTCGCACTATCTTCCCAGGGGTTGTAATGTAATCGATGAACAGACCCGTACGTATATTCAGGCGTATTGCAAATGGTCGCCATGGGGTATCTGAATATTTCTGCGAACGTGTTGACGCATTTATTAAGAACATGGAAGCAAAACACAAAAAAGGAAAACACTAAATGATCCTTGTCATAGCAGCTCAGCAATGGGGATACCATTTTTGAACGATCAGTCGTCAATGGCGACAAACATACTCTGTTCAAGTGATAGCTTCAATAACAATCAAGTTTTTTGTGTTTTGTTTCTACCTAGCGCAATGCGAAAACACAATTATACGCGATGCCGGTCCCTAGCAGGAACGCGCAATTAAATTAGGAAATATATAGTCTAGAATGATACCTTATCCCACAGACAAAAGAATCGATATTTGAGTTTAGCTAGATAAAAAAAAGATCAACATCGACTTAATTACCACACGTATTGAGCAGCCGAATACTTAATTACAACCCGCTCGTGCTACGGGTATACACTCGAGGTATACCAGTAAATATGAGCAAAATTTCGATTATTTCTTGGAGAGAAAATGAGAGAATATTTCATATTTCTTACAATTCATTCAGATCTAATCTGGTTGATGAGACGACGGGCTACCGCGCAGTAACTCAAACTTCCGTAAAACGATATAATTATTATTAAAAAATGAATAGTTTAAAAAAATCCTGCACGCAATACTGCGAGCATTGCATTGTGGGACCTGGTTGGCTATGGAGAGGAGACGCATGGTCTCGATTTCAATCGCCCCGTTGACGAAGTAGTGCATCTCAGCACTGCGTGACAAAATAAATTCAGCGCTCTCCTGCATGAACCCCGTTCATCTTCCTGAGAGCCCTTGTAGAAACACGTATACCTCTAGCGGCCATAAGGGAATGCATAGGCTTAGCGAGGAGTAAGAGTACGGCCTGCCGCATCCCTACTTATTGACGAGACGACGGAACAGTATGACCGGCCCAGTGTACTTCTTCCCTGTGCCATCTTCGTCCTGTGTTTACCTGCTCTGCCTCTACTGGCGGGGAACCCCTTCATTGGGGCTTTTCCTTAGGAGGAGGGAAAGTGCAAATATCACTACGGCGGTGGTTGTTTGGCTTACTCGTTGCCCTCGACCATCATCGACCCACTGGTGTAGCCCTTTTGTGCGCCTTCGCGGGGTTGGGCTGGTTGGCTGGCTTCGGGCTCCTGCGGGGTCCTTCCTCCCATTAAAACTTTGGTTAAGCGAGTTGGTCCACTCTAGGTGTAAGCTTTAAAAGCGCAAACATACAGGAACGACAGGAAATAACACGAACGACAGGGACAGCGCCTGTCATTGTCGTTTATTTCATTTCCTGTCGTCCCTGTCTGTTTGCGCTTCTAATCCTTTCTCCCTGTCGGTTCATTCTGGGTTGTTCTTTTGGCGAGGCCCTGTTTTTTCTTAGTTCAGTTCCCAATTGGCTTTTTGATGAAATTTCCATTTGATCCAGTGATCCAATTCATTTATATTGAATTGGCTTTAAATTTGTTGTGCCTACACAGTCGGTACCGATCGAGGATCCTCTATTTTTCATTCTTTTAACTCCCTTATCTAACTTGCGTTTTTACCTGCGCACAAGGTTGGCGCGCCGGGAGCCCGAAAAAGGTGGCTCCTCATTCCATCCGTAACGGTATCAGTATTGTAAAATTTAAGCGTGAAGTCGGCATATTGGAAAATGCAGGCAATATATTTTGTCGTGACGGGATGTCGTGAAGTGAGGTTGGCAAACGGAAACCGAAGCTTAGTGTCCAACGAAAACCCCACAGGCTTCGCTTGGCATCTGACCTCTAGGATCGTTTCGATTCTGGAAGAGATTCGTCGTCGTACAATCAGCAATAGACTAGTAAAATTTTCGATCGCCATGCGATCGAAGTTTGCAGCAATCGCGCACTCAACGCTTTAGCCGTATATTAAAACACTCTGAAATATTAACGGGTCAAAACCCGTTTCCACGATTAAACGTGCAAACGCATTAGCTTAGTGTTGTATGGAACATCAGGGTTGTGCTCTATAGTAAACATTACCGGGCGATCCTCACCTCTGGCATGTCACACACGCGCGAGCTGGAAAATTTAGCATTGTTGGTCTAAAGAGCTACGCTTCTGAGCACTTCAGCGTAACGACATTTAAGACATATTGGCGCCTAAAATCTTTGTTGCTAGCTATCCTAAGTTTTATCTGAAATCGCTGGAAACTGGTTTCCGACCTCCAAAAATGTTAAAACAATCCTCAACAAAAAAGAAAAAAAAGCGATATATATTTTTTTAGCATTTTAGTACCGTATCTAACGGCTCAGCAGAACCACCAGTAGACTATTTCCATAAATTCGTCATCGTGCGCGTTGCATTCTGGGAACCTGGGGGCCAGGAACGGAGAGCGTATGGATTTTGCTGCCCATTGATTTCCACAACGCATAACGTGGCATTACGCCGCGTCGGGGCGCTTCGAGTTTTGGAATACGTCTACTGCGGCCGCTCTTGCACTATTAGCACCAAAGTGGCGGCTCCCACGAAATAACCGAGGAACGAAGTGCCGATTCGTATGGTCGTTGACAACTTAAAAGACGCCGGGCCTGGCTTATTACGCAACCAATTGAGGTGAACGAGAGATCCTTTTCAAAAATTCCTCGAGCAACACTGGCGGTCGCCATTGCTCGGACACGAAGCGTGTGATTGGATCCGAGCCCTCGCCGAAAGCTGACGCAACACTGGTTTCCATTACGACGAGCTGGGCGAATTCACGCCGAATGCTGACGCAGCCCTCGTGTCCAATGTGTGCTCAGGGCAACGTTACTAAAACACTCAGTTGGGAAACTCGCCGTCGAAACCTGGGCCGCTGGCGTCCACCGAGACCGAGCTAAATGCGACAACAGCGCCACTCTTTGTCACTTGTCTGTACTGTGGTCACCTTGAGCTTTTTGAAAGCCTGTTTTTTGCGGAAAAACAAACGGAAAAGACTCTTTTTGTATGAAATTTATTGGAGTTTAGTACCAAAGGATGGGCGCGTGATGTTTTTATCATCTTTAGTTCGCAAGGTTTTGCGGAACAATTAATATTGTTTTTATAAAACCATGCCTCAGCGGGCCTTTCAGGTAGCGCGTCCCGACCTAGGTGCATTTTAACTTCAGCCGTTCAACGCGGCGCGTCCGCCGGGGAGACGGGGGTTCACCCCTGTCAAAGCCAAAAATAGAAGTCACGTGCAGTTTCTCGAGTGGCCGCTGCGGGAGAAATGGTGGCGTTGTGTTCGTCATTAGCTCGGTGCTCGGAGACAGCTTGGGGCCATATTTTTAGGGCTGTCTCTATGGGAGTTTCCCAACTGAGTGTTTTAGTAACGTTGGCTCAGGGTACGTGATCGAGCAATGGCGGATAGGCGATGGCGCGGCCTTTTGAAAAAGGGTATATTGAGAGATCGCAGCGATTGGCAAAGCTCAGGTACGAGTAGATCCGAAAGATACGATGACCGCAGGTACAGTGAGCGTGACGTTACATTTGCTCGTTGTCCCCTGCGCTCATGGAATCCTTCCGGTTGTATTCGGAGCTTTGCCATAGAGTAATATACACAAGGTAAAGAGCGGACACTGCCATAGGCCCCAGCGGCCCAGATAGAGCAGTGACAACTAGCGCTCTTAGCGGACGGTATGAAACACAATCTGGTTCCGGTTCCGGTCAAGTTAGTTTCGGTTTCGGTTTGGGCATTTTTGTTTTGGTTTTTTGGTACCCTTCTCCTTCTCTTTTTCTCTCTTTCTTTCCTTCTCGCCTCCCTCCTCGCTAGGCTCTCGGGAGCTCCTTGGCTCCGGAGCCGATGAATCTTTTTTTTGTTGTTGTTTTTATGTTATAAGTTTTGCAATATACGATATAAGTTTTGCAAAATGTGTAATGTGTCGAATAAAAGTTCAACTTATTGAACAGATTGAAGTACATAATCGCCACATTGACTCCTGGCTGGTGGAGCATTTTGGGAGGTTTTGGGGTCAACAACAGTAAGTGGTTTGAAAACATTTTATTGGACCACATTCATATGTACATTATTTACTTCAGAAGCTCTGTATGTTTTATAAGAAATAGATAATCACAAAAATAAATGAGTATGAAGGAGTTCGGCATATCGTACACTTCGTAATAGATTTTTAGCGGAGTCAAGTTTACAAAAGCTTTCCACAGGGAACATGCTGAATGATCCATTCACCTTCACGCCGACTCGGGCACGGTAAGTAAGTGCAGAAATAAACAAGACATCGCTATCATTACCAGGCGAAGCACACACCGGATAGTACAAATTCCAAATTACCGGCTAATATAAAACACACGAAATGGCATAGCCTGAAACTCGCTGCGGGTGAGCCATTACAAAAAAAACAACAAAAAAACAATGAGAACTCTATTCGGAATCTGACAAGATTCAACCATAGATATTCAACCATGATTCAACGTCCCTAAACATTCCCCGAAATACATTTGTTCAGGACAGGAGTATTACTTCAGAAAAAAAAAAACGTCCAAAAAATATAGACGGGTACAGAAGTGGACACATTTTCTTCCAAACATCTATGCCTCTATAAACTATTTTCTATAGAAATTCTGCAGAAAGTGGATAAATATTTGTGTAAGGGGGCCGTGATACACATTTCCTGGAAATAAAGAAAACACATGTTTGGAGTGCAAGCTACACTGCCCAATTAATAAGCAATTTCTGTTTTTGATTTGGCAACCGCCTCTGTTAATACGCTATTAAGCTATTAACAGTTAAACTTATCAAGTTGCTTACTAGCAACCGAAGAGTGTAACCGAACTTTGTCCAAGTTCCGGTTAAGGAACCGAACATGCCAACACAAGCGTATTCGGCAAAACATTTTTAAAAACCTTTTGTGACACTCCTCTGAGCAAAGGCTGAAGCCACCCAGCTCTGAGAGTGTGTGATACAAGGCAGCACACACTCCTCGAACATGCGCTACACTCTCTATTACGGCAAGAAAGTGATTTTCTAGTTTCTGAATAAAGTTAAAGGCAGCCTGTGATGGTACTACTAGGTTTCCGAAGAGTTTCCCAGGCACGTGGTATGCTTTAAGCATAAGAAAATACTGGTGAGGCCTGGTCAAGTTGTCAGACTCATCCTTTAGCAGCTTAGAACAGCCACAGCTGCGGGTTGTCTGTTCAAGGAAAAGTTTGATCAAATAGCCTCCAACGTAGTAAGTGCACGAGTCGTCAATTATATTAGACCTGATGTCTGATGCCAGCTCAGAAATATCTTCTAGTGGCGGGAAGTTATCAACTGGAAAACATTCCACATTGTCTGCAATGGAACTTTCATGGTGCGAAAATATTGGCAACTCCTTGAGGAGGTCAGCCTTTTCATCCTCTACATTTCCATTGTTAGAGAGTCTGAACAGTTTTTTTATCCCGATGTGTTTCAGTCCCGAGGTGAACTGATTCACATTTGGGTTTGTATTGCAGCCCAGCATTTGTCTTATTGCCCCAAAAATGTTCTCCAGTGGGTCTTGCTGCAGGCGTCGAGTAAGTAAGAATTTAAAGTCATAGCTGTTTGAAAGCTCATCCCAGAGCATGAGGACACTCCTTATTGTAACTTGCCACCCTATGGTGGTTTGTGGCTGCCTCCTACTTTGGAACTTCCATGTTGAAATCCATGCGAGTTGTTGGTGAAGGAAATCGAGTATCTCAGATTCTCCTTTCAAAATTGCATGACGCAACTTCTGCCCCGTCTTCTTGAATTGCGAGCTATTTAAACAATCAAAAAGTCTGTCCATTCTATCACAAAAATAGGCTGTAGCCATGGCTGCCTCAGGAAGCTCCTTGGCATAAACAAGGGATAGAATGGCAAGACAGACTGAGGCACTCAGGACCTGTGTGGCACGCTTTACTTTCATGTTACTGAAAGGTTTTTGAAAAATGTGCCTCTCAGTAAGTTTTGGAGCCAATCGCAACCTCATCTCATGAGTAGAACGATAAAGTTCAACAATATGGGACCATTCAATGACCTCATCCCCAATGCAAAGTTTGTGGGCTTGGAGATTGTTTCTTGTTGTTTTGATGAGGTGCGGAACATCAAAGATAAAGTAAACACGTTCGTTGTCGACTTCAAAAAATGGCTTATCAGCAGATACACCAAGTTGGTTGGCTAAGCTTACGTTTGAAGCCCCCTGATCACAGACCACGGCCTTCACAGTGAAGTCAACAGTCTTAAGCTCTCGAATGAGAGAAATCAGGAGGCTCCGGATAACAGAAGACGGTGTTGAAGTGTGCCCAACAGTGTATGCGAGGGGCTGAACCCACCTCCTGGAAATTCCAGAGAGCACAACAACCAGGGCTCTATCTGCAATGGTCGAGGTTCGTTCAACACCGTCATCTGTAAATCCATGGATAATGTCGTGTGCAGGGTCGTATGTCAAGTTCTTCTTCAAAACAATCTCATCAAAAATCAAGGTGCAGACACGATCACGTGCATTCCAAGACCGCGTTTGAGATTCGATGGAGGACATGACACCAGGTATAATACCAGGAGTCATTTTTACGTTCGACAGCCACCTACGCAGTGAACGCTGAGTGGGAAGCGTTAAATGTAACGATAGAAAACGGTATGCCTGTGGGCCATGAAAGTTCAGATGCAAAGCAAACTTCTTGAGCCACAGTGGAAACCGTTTTCCTCGTCCCTTGCGCCCTAATTTTACATGTGACGAGATAAGTCCGAAAACCTCGTCTGTCACAAACGGACGCACCATTTCAAGTGCTTCGGCAGCTGTTTGAGGCATTTGCTTCTGTTGCTTGCGCAGTCTTGATATTGTCTTTCTGTAACTGGAAACCTTTGCTTGTAGGCGTTTTATGACGTCCCTGGGCCTCCTTGAGAGCTTGGCGGAAGCAGGTGTTGAACGACCAGAGCCTGCCAAAACAATACCGAAAGCACATAAGTCAGGCTACACAAAAATGATAAAAGTAGAACCCGACAGAAACGATACCGCCGAATACCGACCACTTACCCATGCTGCAGTATGTGCCCCCCCCCCCCCCCCCCCCGCCACTTTCGAAACGTTTGCGAAATAAACAAAGCACGTATCAATGTCCAACTCCAGACTTAAAAACCCACCCACCTAACATAAATGCTCATCCGCTTCAGCTGCTTCTCCAAGCACACCAATGTAAAAGGTGAAGCTCGACACGTGCACGGGCCTCCAAAGTGGTGACCCCCTTCCCCCCAACCTTTGGCTGTTCTGCAATTTTGCTTTCGGGCATAAGAAGCATACATCTCTGCGTTTTTCATGATTATCTCCAAATTGTGAGTGGGCATTTGCTCCGCATGTTCTGTTACCACTGTTTATACACAAATGGCTGCTATCAGAAAAAAAAAATAAACTAGCTTTTAGTCTTTCAGCTGCAATAATTTCACCACAAAAACTGTATTAACATAAATTGATGAATCTTTCAAATATTGAATAATCGCGTAGTCAATCACTACGTGCAACAGGGTCATCCAAAATGAAAACTGTATGTAACAGGATTGGCGAATTACTACAGTAAGCACAGATTACTAGGAAACCACCCCTTTTCAGAGCATTTCACGGTGCCACACTTCAAAGCTTATGTTCCCCGTCACCTAGAGCCCTGTAGTGATGTTCCAAGTTATTAAGGCCAGCACAAAAATGAAGTGACAAATAATGTCACCTAATTTGAAGCAATGTGCATACTAAATGCAGAGGTACTTAACAGAATTTTGCAGTGCTTAAATCTGTAGGGAAGTCAATTTATACTCACAGGTTCCAGATGATTCAGAATAGCCAACAGACGAAGATGGAGTGCTGTGGTCCAAAAGCTGGCCAGGAGAGCTGGCCATCCCCATTTGCTCTGGAAAATGTGTCACTGTTAAATACGAATGTTTGCATAAACCCAATTTGTGTAGGAGATTTATTTTACCACAGGCCGCTATGGAATGTGACGCGCTGGTACCCTCCAGTGAAATACCACAGGGGCTTGTCGCCATCGGTTGTTCTGAAAAACGGTTGCTTGTCAGATATGAGCAGCTGTTTTAAAAGAAATTATCTCACCATGAGCAGCTGCCGAAGGTGATGTTCCACTGCCTTCCATTCGAACATCCCCGGGGCTTGGTTCCGCCATCGGCTTTTCTAAAAAGGGCTTCCTTGTCAGATATGAGCCGCTCATTTAAAATAAATAATCTCACCAGAAGCTGCTGTGGGATGCGACGTTCTGCTTCCCTCCAATGGAACGTCACAGGGACATGTCGCCACCGGTTCTTCTGACAAATGTTTGGTTGTCAGCTATGAGCAGCTGTTTTAAAAGAAATGATCTCACCATGAACAGCTGCCAAAGGTGACGTTCCGCTGCTTTCCATTGGAACATTCCCTGGGCTTGGTGCCGCCATCGGCCCTTCTGAACGACATTTGCTTGTCAGGTATGAGCCCCTGTTTTAAAAATAAATGATCTCACCACGAGCAGCTGTTGAAGGTGACATTCCACTGCCCTCCAAGGGAACATTACTGGGGCTTGGTGCCGCCAGCGGTTGTTCTGAAAAACGGTTGCTTGTCAGATATGAGCAGCTGTTTTAAAAGAAATGATCTCACCATGAGCAGCTGCCAAAGTTGACGTTCCACTGCCCTCCAATCGAACATCCCTGGGGCTTGGTTCCGCCATCGGCTTTTCTGAAAAGGGCTTCCTTGTCAGATATGAGCCGCTCATTTAAAATAAATAATCTCACCAGAAGCTGCTGTGGGATGCGACGTTCTGCTTCCGTCCAATGGAACGTCACAGGGACATGTCGCCACCGGTTCTTCTGACAAATGTTTGGTTGTCAGCTATGAGCAGCTGTTTTAAAAGAAATGATCTCACCATGAACAGCTGCCAAGGGTGACGTTCCGCTGCTTTCCATTGGAACATTCCCTGGGCTTGGTGCCGCCATCGGCCCTTCTGAACGACATTTGCTTGTCAGGTATGAGCCCCTGTTTTAAAATAAATGATCTCACCACGAGCAGCTGTTGAAGGTGACATTCCACTGCCCTCCAAGGGAACATTACCGGGGCTTGGTGCCGTCAGCGGTTGTTCTGAAAAACGGTTGCTTGTCAGATATGAGCAGCAGTTTTAAAAGAAATGATCTCACTATGAGCAGCTGCCAAAGGTGACGTTCCACTACCCTCCAATGGAACATTCCCGGGGCTTGGTGCCACCATCGGTCCTTCTGAAAGATGTTTGCTTGTCAGGTATGAGCCCCTGTTTTAAAATAAATGATCTCACCATGAGCAGCTGTTGAAGGCGACGTTCTGCTGCCCTCCAATCGAACATCCCCGGGGCTTGGTTCCGCTATTGGCTTTTCTGAAAAGGGCTTCCTTGTCAGATATGAGCCGCCAATTAAAAATAAATAATCTCACCATAAGCTGCTGTGGGATGCGACATTCTGTTTCCCTCCAATGGAACGTCACAGGGGCATGTTGTTGCCACCGGTTCTTCTGAAAAATTTTGGCTTCTCAGATATGAATACCTGCTTATAAAGCTTCTGATGGAGAATTCCTGCTACAGGCGAATGATAGGTTAGTAGTGTTACTTTTCAAAGGAACAGAAAATATTCAGCACTCTGAAAGGGCATTGAAATCCCTTAGTGATGAAAATTAATGTTGAGCAATATTAATCAATGGCGAAACACAGGATCCGGCGGGTCTTGAAAAGGCACTTAGGAATCTCGGAATATCTTAAATTTTAACGGCCCGGTATGCTAATGTATGAGAACATAACAGCATGGGCAACTAAAGCTAACCTTGTAAACATGAGTGTCAGGAAGATGACTCAGACGGCATGAGTCCTCTTGTCGAATTGGATATGAACAGGGGAACGTTGACCTGCCTTATCTTTCATTTATATCACTATTGTATGCTACAAACCTAGGATGCCCTGTAAGAAGTCATACTGCACTGGCAGTACTGCCCTTCTTGATTGCAGGACACAAATTACTGTATTTCAATGCAGCTAACCTTGTGCTTTAAAACAATTTTCCAACAAACTGGGACGGATATTGGTTATGGGCAACAGTATGCGCAGGGACATTACAGGGATAATGTACAAAAATGCTAAATGAATTAGATAAAATATTTAAGCACAAACTAATAATAAAAACTAATTAAATCAGATTAAAACTTTTGAGACTGTCAAGCATCGTTGACAGCATGCTGGCAGCTGGCATCAGTGACGTAGAGTTGGTGCTGCCTAAAAGCAAAATATAACAGAACTCCGTACAGACTGCAAATAAAGATTATGTTACCTTGGGCTGTTACAGATGGCCTAAGCATTTGCGGCCGAACCGTAGGGATAGCCGTTTTGGTCAGCCTTGTCTTCCCAGGATCCAAAAAGTCCTTGGCTGTGAAATGCTCACTACACAGGCGATACCCCTCATAGAGCTCCTTGGCTGTCTTTCCTAGGAGCTCAGGACGTCTGGCGTACTGTAGCCATGCTTTTGACCTGCAGAACATTGTATATACCACCAAGGTTACACATACTGTAAGGGTCAAATAAACTCCAAATATATGAGCCTCAATTGTTTTTAATGTTTCACTGCCGTTTGGTATGGCACCTCTCAGCAAAGTGTTCACGTTCTGAAGAGTTTGTTTTTCTTCTTCATGCTACTGTACAGTGCAATACAGCTAAACAAACAGATTGCATACCCACCAGGGTATGCAATCAATTTAGGCCCGAGGCAAGATAACCTTAAAATGCTGAAAGATATTGGTGTCCATAAACCAAAGTGACATGGAAGAAATCGTTTTTGCTATAGTTTGTTGCAACCTAAGACCGAAGGGCGAGGGTAAGACGGGCCGGGGAGGAGGGAGCAGACGGAACGCTGGAGAAGAAAGGGGAAACCTCCTTCTCTCCTTAGCGTTTCGTGTTCCGTCTGCTTCCTCCTCCCCGGCCCGTCTTACCCTCGCCCTTCGTTCTTAGGTTGCAACGGACCATAGTTCTCATTTCAAAATGTTATGCTTCGATCAAATGTTGTAAGGACTGCCTTAGAATCTATACGTACCTTGGGTCACGTGGAATTCGAAAAAACTTGACATGTGGCTTCTTTGTTTTGCCATTGTTGGCACACCAGACCACGCAGCAGTAGCTTCCGTAGGACATAATCTGGGCCAGCGGGGGAGGGAGAGTTTAACATCTACTGAAGCCTAGCCAATGGCGCGTTCCTTTAGTTCAACGGAAGGTAGCACAATAGCGGTTGGTGAAAAAATAAACTGATGGAAATTTAAACAATGTCACAAGATATTGCCATGACGCAATGTTACAATAAACCCATGACACGTATTAACACAGACGGGTGAAAGAAATATTGTGAAGTTTGTGAAGTTTACGCAATCTTCATGCATCATAATCGAACGCAGTGTCTAGAGTGCCATGCCACAGCACTCCAACCAAGTGTTCAAGTGACGTCTGACTGGTTTTACCCAACGTTCGAATGTCATCCTTAAGAGTAAAACAGGAATTTAAGCATAGTACAGCGGTACGGCCAAAATAAGTAAGACTAATCTACCTCTACTGTTTCTGGTAAATTGGCCGTCAATATTTTGAATTTTGCTTTCTTACATAGAAAATAATGTCAGCGAACCATAGACCTAAATTTCGAGCTCCATTTGGTGATGTAGCGATGTAGTGGGAACCATGTTTGAATAGTCCTCCGTACATTCTCAGAGTGTCCGAAAGTTCCATGGATGTCCTATCCTGGATGTCCCGTGGACGTCCATAGGATATATATGCTGCTTGGGAACTTTATTAAATATCTAAATTTGATACTGCGTCTCGCAGTTTTTTTCCCCCGAAATTCTATGCATGTGTTTGTCGTCGTAACTGCAGCATACTGCAGCTCGTATGGCAGTACACACAAGTCATGTAGCTCGCTTGAGCGACGTTCGCTGTTTCGCTTCTTTTGCACGTACTTTATGTGATAAATCAAAGCAGCGACGCGCCATTGAAAGAATGCATGTCAAAATATCAATATGACTCAATGGACACCTTGCCCCGAATTCGTCGCACTGCGAACGACTGTCGACCCAGCTTTAGTCAGTGAATTAACTTCAATCTATGACGGCATAAGTCCTCTCAACAGCAATCCACAGATGTCTGATGGCACTTGAACACGCATGAACAAAGCTCTGCCCGAGGGGCGTCGGACGGCAACCCAGACTCAGCAAATTCAAAAGCCAGCTTTACAACACAGTCGAGAGACAAATGAGCAAAACGACTTACCTTTTGTTTAAAAATCTAGGTCCAGGCAGCCCGACGGAAACACGAGAAGCTCAAGCCATATCAAGCCGCTCAGCTCTACAAACTCACGCCGAGCATGAGAGCACGCGGCGGTCATTCGTCACTTTGTTTCAAGCAAAGTCGACCGAACACGCTGTAGCATAAAACGGAGAAGAACGGCACGGACGGCACGGACGGTACGGCACGGACGAACGAAGCACGGACCGCACGGACGAGCAGAGGTGACGGCGTGCAAGCAGACAGGCCATGGCAGGCGCCATTCATCACGTGGTTTTTGTGACGTATTCGATTAACACTATTTAGTCGTTTTAAGTACTTTAAAAAACTCTAAAGCATAAAAATTTAGAAAATAAATACTTTTCAGAGAGAAAGCTGTAATTAATATTAACCAAATTACGGAAAAGCGCCACGTAGCGGAGGGTATGAATCCTATTATCTGGGCCGCGAATCGGCTTCAGTGTCCTCTCTTTACGTTTACTATATTACTCTATGGCTTTGCCGTTCGCCGGAATCCACCCGTGTGTGCAATGATTGGCTATACCTCCGTCCGTGCGTGTTATGCGGCAAATTACACTCGCAAATTTTTTTTTTTTTTTTTTTTTTTTAGTGTGTAGTTGCGAGGTCAACGTGAAGCGCTGGATAGGCCAACAGAAACCTTCGCGCCCGGCACGGCTTGTGTTCCTTGGGGGCAACGAAGCAACGTTCGAGATCAACCTTACTTGGCAACAGGACGAGCAAAGCGTGATAAAACATCGAATAAATGAGATTTATTTTATTTAAATCATATTTTTTTTTATTTAAATCGATGAAGCTATAAATAGTGATTCTTTACTACTAGATATATTTCGCAACATGGCAGATTGATTGGTAAATTTGTCTGATGATTGATAAGTTGATAACAACGCGGAAGAATGAATTGTTGTAAACGTAAACCACAGTTAATGAACAACCTTTTATTGATATAATTCCCACCATACTAAAACAAAAACAGCTCAATTTTTTTTAGTTAGAAGGCGTTATTTAATTTTTCTTTCGTTTCTGGCACGATTGCAAGAGGATTGTTTTTGTTATTTTTTTTTTTCGTTTTGATATTTTTACAGTGGGATGTTACGTAACCGAAGAACGAAGTGGAAAGTAAAAATCAAGCTCAACTCTCCAATCTACCGAAGAGTTGTTTTCGCTCGTGTTTAGCCTTATATAAGTCTTTCTTGCTTGACGATTATTTAATTTAAATGCAAAACAAATACACATAGGAAGTATTACAAAAATAAAGTCACGAGTAAATAATTATTTTTTATTATTATCTTTTGTTCGAATGGTTTGATCGAAATGATAACAAAAGTGCAAAACTGGTCTGATATTACGAACGATTTAAATTATCATTTCTATTACGATTTAAATCATATCGAGTTTTGTTTTCTCATCCTGCTCCACAACAACCCGTGGCGATCCTAGCTAGGGAGCCTTCATGTGCGCTTTGCTAGGGTGGTGCCACCCTTTGTAACACCACTCGCCGACAAACCAGCAGCCATTTTGGTCTCGGCGATAATCCGTGGGGCTTATAACCCTCCCGGAAGCAAGCATCTTATCTCACAAGTTCGGAGCAGCGTTGTGGAACCCACGGAGGGAGGATTAGCATTTCCCCTCTTGGATGGGGGGACTGATGGGCACAAAGGCCACTTTCCGGCGCACGGGAAACGCACGGGGAAACAATGAGGAACAAAATGGCGGCGGGGGAAAGGGAAACAGGCAGTTGGCATCACTCTATGCGAAGCGCACATGAAGGCACTCTAATCCTAGCCTGCGGGCTGGAGCGGCGCCAAGCGTGCGGGCGTTGCTTCGAGTTGATCCCGCGGTGCCGCGATCGAAGGGCGCCGTCTGACAGGAATGCCATTTGTGCCTCTTGGATGTGACTTGGGCAGCTGCTCGAGATGTCGGCTATATGGGCTGCGGCGAGCTCAAGTTCGCTGCCGCGCCCGGTGGCAGATAATTACTTGTAAGGCGTTTATCTCCGTTATTAGTTCCCGGCCTACTCGGGGAGGATGGGTGACCGTGTTCGGCGCTTTTACATGTGCTTTCATTTTCGTGTCGACGGCAATTTCGAATTGCATTAACGTTACCGTTTTTCTTTGGCAACGGAGTATACGTTACACGCACGCACGCACGCACGCACGCACGCACGCACGCACGCACGCATTAACTTATTTGCTAGAGTTTAAAGAAAATTCTTGCGAATTGCTGTGCATTTTGTAGAGACCCAGTTGCTTCCACTGTGTACTTACCATATTTATAATCGCTTTCCTTTCCTTTAGCATACAGCATCATTTATGATTTCTAAATTTTTATGAGCGGTTATCCTTCAGACAGGGGCTGTCAGTTTCTGTTGTCACTGACAGTTTAAAAGAAAGCTAAAAAAAATATATTAAAAAAAAAACTGTAAAAGTGTAAAGTAAGCATTTAAAAAAATTATGTGTCTAAAGTGTATTTACGTGGGAAAAGGGGGGGGGGGGGCGTGTTTTCGGTAACAGCGATGTGACCGCCAATTAAAATTTGTCCTCAGTTCTGCCTTTTATTGCACGCCGAGCGCAGAAGCGCTGAGTGTAAACTCAGCGAAAGTGACGTCATTGGCGGAGTCAGATTACCCCTTGCTCGCCACTATACTTCGTTTCAGCTTCGGTCCGAGCGCGGCCGATGTTATGAACCGAAGGGCCAATCAAACACCGCAAAAAGCGCAACGTCATGGCGTGCTCTCTGCGCTTGATAAGACTTGCCGGCGGAGGAGCACGCACAGAGAGACGGCGAATACCGGCTGGTCCTATCAACTGCAGAGAGCACGCCATGACGTTGTGCCTCTTTCGCTGTTTGATTGTCCCTTCGGCTCATAACATCGGCCGCGCTCGGACCGAAGCTGAAACGAAGTATAGGCTGGCTCAGAGATGCCCACGATGACCCCTTTACAGATAACAGGTGGGAAAAGGACTCGCCGCACGTTTTATTTTTAATAAATGCAGTATATTTTATTACCGCTTAATTCAAATGCGGATTTATGGGACAAAAAAACAACAACAAAAAAACTATAGAGTCTGCTCGAAACTCAGCTACATTGAAAAGTGCTTCAGCTTTCCCTTAAAGGTGTACTCAGCAATTTTTTTATGGTCGCTGATTTGCCTCAAAATTCCCACAACACACCGATAGACACGGCTGTGCCATTCTTCCAAGTGATGTCTAAAAAGAAGACAATTTCGTGAAGTTATCGATTTGTTTTTTGCTCATTGTTTCCAGTTTTTTTATCACCTTTTTTAATTTCTTATCACACATCCTGGCTTTCGAACCACGTTTCTCATCTTATTCTTTTAATGACAAAGTGCATCCATTTTTCACACCCCGCTTTCTTTTTTCTTAGTATTAGGCAGGCTCTGTTCAGATAAGATCATGCACGCGTGTCCGGACGAATTTTTTTGTTTTTGTTAATTTTCTTTATGTTACTCCTCACAATATGTAGAAAACGTTATAAAAAAGCATTTTGCAAAAAACCATAAGATATAAATAGAAAAAAAGAAATTGAGTGCTCTAAACGGCATTTTCGATTTTTGAAGTTTTCGTTTATGTCATGTTTATTGACACTACGCAAGCTACAAATATTAAAAAAATCTTAAATATTGTTTACTTATAAGTTATAATAGATTATAGGACGTCAAAAATTCGCAAACCTCACTTCTTTGACGTTTTAACACTAGATTTCTGAGATTTTATCTACAAGAATTTAATAGCTACAATATTAAAATTTGTCATATATTGCTATTAAAACGTTCTTTCGAATGATATATAAATCATTGCTTTATCTCCAAAGTTAAAATTTTTACGTCGCTGTAAACTTGTTCTAAATCACAAAGTTAAAAAAAAAAAAATTCAAAAGATAATTAAAAAAAAAAAATCACAAAAAGCATCGGTCTTACTGAAATGTATAGCGATAGTTCTCCACAATACTGCTGTGTTTATTCATGTAAAAGTTGTTGCATCATTTCGTTTCCTTCAAACTTACAGCGTTGCGAAGTGTACTTTCTAAGGCGCCATTTTTGGCCAATGCCACGAACGGGATTGCGATTATCTTTTGATTCCGTGTATTTTATGACTAGATCTATTTTTTGTGATGTATATGAGTATTGGGCACAAGTTCAAGTATTCTACTAATTAAAACAATACCCGCGTTACTCGCCCTTTGTGTTAATTTAACCAATAATCCTGTTTTACTCTCTGAAATGACGAGTTCTTTGAGCTTTAGCTGAACCTTTTCTGGAAAAGCGGGACAAAAACTCTGAATTGCTACTGCTGATTTTTTTCTTTTTTTTTACAGAAAGTAGTAGAAAGGTAAGCGCGTCCCATCGGTGCAATCTATGCGAATATTTGTAGCTATATTCGCGATGAAGAGCTAGGGAACGTCGGAGTGACGGTTGCACGCCCGGCTGACCAATTGGTAAACCTGCGACCTCACTGGCACTTTCAGCAAGACGTCCGTTAAGATTAGAAATATTTGGGATTATTTAATCGAGTAAGATACAAAAAAGGAAAGTGAAAAAGTTTAAAAAAAAAGACTGAGTAAAGATATTGAGGGCATTAGTTGCGCGCGTTGGCAAAAGGGTGTATTAAGAAGTCCGTTTTTTTGTTTTTTTTTCCCTTCTTTAAACCAGACTGACAAATTTCTCTAAGTACTCACGTGTATTGCAATAATTCCAACGAGTGCGAGATAATCGGTTAAATGCGAATGTGGCAAAGAGGTAATGCACAAACTGGTTGACGCTGTTTCACGGCCGCAGTGTTCTGGGAGGAGAATTCGAAAATCCTTGTGGACCCGTACGAAAATGTCATATATGGCCCCGATATATTGTATATATTGCAGCGTATGATAATATACCGCCATATATATGAGCAAATATGTCTAGATATAGCCATATACGCGTGCAAATATGGCGATATATCGCTGTATATAAGGTCAAATACTTCACGACATATACGGGTAAAAATATATCCCCTGATAATGGCATGGGCCCGTTTCGGTCATGCAAGCAAAAAGTCATATCTACTCGCGAAGATACTAGTTGATTTACCTATATTGCATGAGCCTCGTGTAATTGTTTAACTATGTTAACATCCTTAAAGTAAGTTATTCGAGATATTTGGACCAATTAATCAATTGCACATGTTGAACATTGA